TTGCGAGTGCTGAATAGGATTCTTAGAAATATTTATAGCACTGGTATTGTCACAGAAAACAGTCATGGTCCCTTGACTAATCCCATAATCACTTAACATTTGCTTCATCCAGAGAAGCTGAGTGCAGCAACTCCCCGCTGCTATGTATTCGGCCTCTGCCGTGGAAAGAGATATGAAATTTTGTTTCTTACTTAACCAGGCTACGAGATTGCTACCCATGTAGAAACAATCTCCTGTCGTACTTTTCCTATCATCTGCGTTCCCGGCCCAATCGGCGTCGGAGTAGCCAGCCAAATCAAGATTAGAATTTTTAGAATAGAAAATCCCTAGATCAACATTACCACTCACATATCTAATGATGCGTCTAACAGAGCTTAAGTGTGATTCTTTGGGATCTGCCTGAAATCGAGCACACACTCCAACACTAAAAGCAATGTCAGGTCATCTACACTCTTACCTGAAGGATCACGACCTAACTTCAAGCTAGTAATCATAGGTGTCCTAGTATGCTTCTTACTATCTAACCCAAAGCGCTTAACTAGATCCTTTGCACACTTAGACTGTGAAATAAACAAGCCATCCTCAGTCTGTTTCACCTGAAGTCCAAGGAAATAACTCAACTCACTAACCATATTCTTCTCAAATTCTTGTTTCAAACACTCGGCAAACTCATATGCTAGAGACTCAATAGGAGAACCAAAAATGATGCCATCGACATAAATTTGAGCAATGGTGATAGTTTCTTCAATATGTCTAATAAACAAGGTCCTATCGGCACCACCTCGAGAGAACCCATGTTCCTCAAGATATGAAGTAAGTCTCTCATACCAAGCTCTAGGAGCTTGTTTCAGACCATAGAGTACTTTATGGAGTTTGTAGACATAGTGGGGAAACTTTAGATCAACAAATCCTTTTGGTTGTTCCACTTAGACTTCTTCTTGAAGAAGTCCATTCAAGAAGGCACTCTTAACGTCCATTTGATGTAGCTTGAACCCTAAGGTACAGGCAACAGCAAGCAGAATCCGAATAGACTCAAGTCGTGCAACAGGGGCAAAAGTCTCATCAAAATAAATTCTCTCAACTTGAGTATAACCCTGAGCAACTAATCTGGCCTTATTCCTAGTTATAGTACCTTGGTCATCTGTCTTGTTCTTAAAGATCAACTTAGTACCAATAACGTTACAATTCTCAGGTCTGGGAACTAAGATCCACACATTGTTCCTAGCAAATTGATTGAGTTCCTCATGCATCGCATTCACCCAACACTTATCACTAAGGGCCTCTTCAACTTTCTTAGGCTCTACCTGAGAAACATAGCTAGTGTAAGCTAGATTGTTCAGTACCCTCCTATGAAGCCTCATACCTTCATCTAGATCCCCAATGATATTGTCCTTAGGATGATTAGACTTGACCCTAGTCAATGGTTCCTTAGGATTTTTATCTCGATCTTGTGGATGTGTTTCCTTTTCAGGTGTTTTAGGTTTCCTAAGAGATGACTCAGATACAGGTGGCTCAGTAGGATCACTAGACCTTATAAGATAACCATTTCTATCGTCCATCCTATCACAATTTTCAACATTCTCCCCCTCACTCATAGCATCATCTATCACAACATTGACTGACTCCATCACCACACGAGTACGTGAGTTATACATTCAAAATGCTCGGCTATTTCTAGAGTACCCTAAGAAGATTCCTTCATCACTCTTCGATTCAAACTTACTCAAGTTTTCTCTATCATGCAAAATGTAGCACTTACTCCCAAACACACGAAAGTACTTAACCGTAGGCTTTTTACCCTTAAGTATATCATATGGAGTCTGATCGGTCTTGGGCCTAAGGTAAACTCTATTGATTATGTGGCATGCAGTGTTAATAGCTTCTCCCAAAAAATGTAGGGCTAGTCCCTTGCCATGAAGCATGGCTCTAGCCATGTCCTGAAGAACCCGATTCTTCCTTTCAACGACCCCATTTTGTTGAGGAGTGATAGGGGAAGAGAACTCATGCAGTATCCCTTCGTCCATGCAAAAACTCTCAAGATTGAAATTTTCAAATTCTTTTCCATGATCACTATGCATTCTAGACACTTTGATATTGAGTTCATTACCAAACCGTTTACACAATGATTTTATAAGATCACAAGCATCAGATTTTTCCCTAAGCAATTCTATCCATGTGAACCTCGAGAAGTCATCTACCATAACAAGAATGTACCGCTTACCTCCTAAACTCTCAGTCCTTGATGGTCCCATTAAATCCATGTGTATCAATTCCAAGGGTCTTTTGGTCAGAATTTTAGAAGTCTTTTTATGGCTTCCCTTAAGTTGTTTACCTAGTCGACATGATCCACACACAACATTTTCACTATTATCTATCTTAGGCAAACCATCTATCAACTCCTTCTTAGCCAGCTGTACTAGACTCTTATAGTTCAAATGACCCAATCTTTTGTGCCAAAGTTCACTCACATCAATTTTTGCACTCCTACACACATAATTAGAATTAGGTAGAACTCCATAACAATTATCAGATGTTCTAACCCCTTCAAGAACCACCCCACCGGATGAATCATACACAGTACATCTCTTTTGCACAAAGCTAACCTCAAAATCAACATCACAAATTTGACTAATACTTAACAAGTTAGACTTTAGACCTTCCACATAAAGCACATTAGAAATCACAGGTAATCCATGCATTTGTACAGTACCTTTGCCAAGAATAGGTGCAGAACCCCCATCTCCAAAGGTAACCATACCCCCATTACATTCATCAAGAGTAGTGAATAAAGCCTTGTTACCACACATATGCCTAGAACATGCACTGTTTAGGTACCACATATTGTAATTTTGGGCTTTTAATGCAACATGAGCAACATAACAATGTTCTTGACCTGAATGTCTAGCTAGATCACCCTTTTTGAGTCAAACTTTCTTAGGCGACAAAGTACTCCTAGTTAGCTTAGTAAGCATCTCAGTCAAATGACTAACTTGATTAGACAGAAGGCTAACTTGACTAGAAATGTTCTGATTTCTACGCTCATTGCCTAACTTATAACATCTAGGCCTAGTGTGTCCTAGAGCTCCACAATGGTGAGAGGTGGGAATGAACATAGGCTCAAAGGTACGTGTCTGTGGGTATCTGGGCATGATGTTCCTACGTGATTGATGACTCTGTTCCCTCGGAACATTCTTACCCTTATTTGAACTACTGACAGCATTAGACTTCTTAGAGGCAAATACAAAAACAGTCTTAGATGGTCTAGTAACATGTATATTACCCTCAACATATCCTAGATGTCTCCTATCTCCCACTGGCTTATTCATTCCCAAAAGATTATCCAATTTCTTAGTCCCACTTATGAAAGTCTGAAGATGAGCATTAGATTTTTCCAATTCACTAGCCAATGTCTTAACCTTGTCCTCTAACTTTTCGTTGACACATTTTAACTCACTACCACTCTTAAGTGAATCCTGAAGATTACTAGCAAGTCTCTCTTTTTCTCTTTTCAGTTCATCAACCTTTTTGAGTAGGGCTTTATTGACCTTTTTGATCTTAAGACTCTCCTTAAATAAAAGTTGATAGGCCTCTTGTATGTCTATGTCATCCTCATCCTCATCCTCATTACTAGAATTATCATTGCAAAGTTTTTCCTCAACCTTATCACTCTCCTTATCAGATTCACTCTTAACAGTCGATACAAATGCCATATAGTTCCCTTCATCTTCACTACTAGATGATTCCTGCCTATCACTGGTCTCAGATTCGTTATCTGTAAGTGAAACAACTAAAGCCTTACCTTTCCCTTTTCTTTGATTCTTCTTATAACTAGGACACTCATTCCTATAGTGACATATACCTTGACACTCATGGTACCTAACCAAACGTGGTTTATCACTCGACCCTTTATTGGTAAACCTTTCAGTTTTTTCTTTCGAGAATCTGCTAGGGACTCCATTTTTTCTATCCTGAGACTTTCTCCTATTCTTGAGAACTTTTTGGAATTTCTTAACAAAGTATGCAATTTCATCATCTCTAAGAGACTCAGTATCAGACGATTCATCCTCTTTGATGGATTTTAAGGTTATGGACTTTCCTTTCTTAGGTTGTATGACAGTGAGCTCATAAGTTTGCAAGGATCCTACCAGTTCTTCTATTTTAACTTCATCTAGGTCTTTACTTTCCTCAATGGCAGTAACTTTAGGCCTAAATCTCTCGGGCAGAGACCTAAGTACTTTTTTCACAATTTTAGACTCGAAAATTCTCTCACTTAGATTGAAACTAGAATTAACGATATCATTCAGTTTTGCGTAAAATTCATCAAAAGTTTCATCATCCTTCATCCTCACTTCTTCAAACCTAGAGGCTAACATTTATAATTTCGAGTTCTTTACCGTTTTAGTTCCCTCATGTGTAGTTTCAAGAATATCCCAAACTTCTTTAGTAGTTTCGCACATTGACACTCTCCTAAAGTCTTCGGGAGACACGGCCATAAATAGGACATGAAGCCCTTTGCTATTCCAATTACACTCAGCTATCTCATCCTTAGTCCATAGTGATATCTCAGTAAGATTAACAGTTCCTGATACGATAGTGGAGGGAGGTTTCCAACCATTTTGCATACTCACCCAAACATGCTCATCTAGAGACTTAAGAAATGCACGCATTCTAACCTTCCAGTAAGCATAATTACTTCCGTCAAAATACGGAGGTACAGAAAGTGATTGACTCATCTAGACAACTATGGGTCAGGACTCGAGATTTGGCTCTGATACCACTTGAAAAGGCTATAGTTCGACCCAAACAACACCTAGAAGGGGGGTGAAATAGGTGTTTATGCGGAATTTAACAATTTAATTAACTTATGCAACATGTCACATAAATTATGCTTTGTCCAGATTCATTCACATAATTTAGTTACCTAAGTTGAATTGCCGGTTGAAATCAAAACAACAGAAAGCAGTAAAAACGCAACAAAATGTTGACGAAGAAAACCCAACTGGGTAAAAACTCTGGGCACAAGCCAGTAGAGATCCACTATAGAAGATATTGACTTACAGTACGCCAGACATAATTGAATCTAACAATACTCTAACCTCCTTACTGTATCAACCAAAGCTCTCCTGGATTTTGCAGATCTGCACCAAAATTCAAGCTTTGAATTTCTTCTTTCTCCCGTGAATCACCAAGCACTCCAGTTCTTCAAGCAGTTTCCTTCCCGGATCTTCAAACAGATAATCTTCTGGAAGTTGATATGGAGATTTGAATGATGTTTTGGTTTTGTAAAGGTTGATGTTTTTCTCTAATAGAGCATGAGATGAAAAGAAAGAATTTTTTGGCTCTAGATCCTTTGGTTGTCGAGAGAAAATTTTATTTGTGTGTTTTCCAAAGGTTGTAAATGAAAAACGGAATTTTTGTTTATATAGTAGGTCGTTTTTGGTCGTATGGAGCGTTTAAAATTCGCGAGGAAGGAAAATTACCAAAAGCCAGATAGCACTGTCGCTCGAGCGAAGTGCTGATGAAACTCGAGCGACACACCTTCGCTCGAGCGACCCCTCAGCGAAACTCTAGCGACAACAGTTCTGTTATTTAGGCTCGAGCGAGGTCAAGGCGAAACTCTAGCGAGATCAACGCGCCGTTTGCATCTTCAAAGCATCCAGCTTTACCTTAGACCTATGTTATAAACTTTGCAAAATTGCAACACAAGTCCCTGAACTTTTTGGACCTTTACAATTCAGTCCTTGACTTTACAAACTTGACAAATTGGTCCTTTGGTCACAGATTGCCAATTACAACATTTTCCTAACAACTCTTTACATGCATTCTTCAAGTTATGACATAAAACTTGATTGCAAAGAAAAGAAATTTTTCTATAATAATATTCATAACATAAAAGAAAGACAAATCAAGTTGTCAATATCATGCTTAGAGTGCACATTGTCAAAGCTCCTTGTTCTTTACAACCAAGCTCTTGTACCAACTCATGAATTTCGCAATGAACTCTGCGGAAAAATGCAGAAAGTAAATTATATAGCATACTTAAAATTCATTGCACAATTATGATATACAAGAGGAAGAGCATGTACGAATGTGTGAAGTCTGTGACTGAACAATTTCAATGCACAGCTTTTTTGTCCGTTCTTATGATATATTTGTCCGTTGGGAAATGGTAATTGCTGTTCAATTTTGTATTAAGTAAAAGCATAAAATAAGTTGTAAATCACATGTAAGAGTAATATGCTTACAAAATCCAGCTAACTAATAAACAAAACACTCAACTATTTAATAGAAGTCTCTCCATTCTACTCAGAATAGCAGTGAAGTTAGTGCTTATTGGAATAGCATCCGAGAAAAATGCAAGAATGATGTCGATACGGGATATTATGATATTCAGAGAAGACATATAATTCTCATTGCTTCTTGAATTTTTTTTCTTCTCTTTTTATTCTTCTTCGACTCTCTTGTAGGTGGCAACAAAAACTTAAAACCACCTACCTAAATGATTTCCCTGTTCCTAAAAATACTGATTCCTTGAACCGAAATTGATTTTCCTTAAGCACATCTTTTGAGCACAATACATCCCAAATTCACAAGCCATTTTTTATTTTTCCTTTCTCTAATGCAGTTAATGTTGACCGAGTTGAAAAGTACCATGCTTCTAGTGACCTTCTGTTCATATATTGTAGGCATAAATATGTCACTCATTAGCTCATGAAATGGCAATATTTGGCACCAAAATCTAGATCAAAGCAATAATTGGTAGGTTCAGATATTTATATGGTTAGAGTACTTGGTATTTTGATGTTTAAATATTGTACATATTCTGATATTCAGATGGATGGATTTGAATGAATGAAAGATTGATCTGAAAGCCACTTGAGAAGCCTGCAATGTTTCTGGACTTTAGTCAGAAGTGTTTTAAAATTTTGTCCTACCTTTCAGAATGGAGACTTTGAATGTAAGTACTTTGCACCCCTCGAATTAAGTTCGTACTTTTGGAGAATTTGTCAAAAACTCAAGCATTCTTCATGTCCTTGTGTCTTTTATGTACTGAAAATATTATCCAAATCTTCACTTGGGGTAATTAATTTCTGACCTTTATGCATGTAAAGTGATAAAGCATACAAATAAAATTCGTTTCTAGTCATGTTATCGATATCATGAATTCTCATCTTACCTTCAATCCTCATAAATTGTTCCACATTCTTTCAAGAATCAGTTTGTCATTGACTAAGTTCCACTTGCTGATCCTATGCACATGCAGAGGCCACGAGCTTCTCAGCTTCATGATTTCTCTGGTCAAAAGAAAAAATGGTTACTTATCATGCTATGTTTTTTGATGTATTAATAATCAAATCTCTTGGAATATGAAATAAATTATTTCATTGCTGGAATTCATACATTGTATTCATTGAAATAAATTATTTCATTGCTGGAATTCATACATTGTATTCATCACACAAATTGCCAAGTAGCTGCTGCAAGTATTCATTAGGATTCTTCTTCAGTTCTTCAATAAGGGTCTGCACAAGAGAGACCTAGTTAATAGAAATTTGAGTACTTAGGTAAGACAAAATACTAAGATGCTCTAACTTTGAATATGAACTCAGGAGTTATATCATGCGCTATTAGATTTTGTAGTTCTCCTTGGATATTATACAGCCTATGGAAGTAAATGATTCTCGCTGTTAGATCTGTACGGGGTGTAGACAGTTTGAATCAGTAGTTGATTGGAGCATGTTTTGGCTTTTAAGTAAAATTTTGTTACAAAACATGTTTCGATAGCTAACTTGTTGTCTTATAATAAAGAAATGACAACAAGGTAGGAGTTAGTGAGTTACTTACGAAATAGGTAACTTGATTTAAAATTGGAATTATTTATTTTAAAAGTTATTTAGTTGTATGTAAACATTTTAAGCTTAGTCAAACATGCACATATGAAGAAAAATAATGAGGAGACAATGATATTTTCCACGTCTGATAATTAAAAAGCTTTAGAATTGACACATACTGCCTTGGGGTTTGTTCTTGTATTATCTTTCTAGCGAGATTTGCAATTTTCTCTTCCCACCCAGTCTTGATAGCTTGATCTTCAGTCAAGGATGAACTGAAAACACATCATCGCTTAAATAAGGTTAGATGAAAAAATTAAACATGAAAAATAGAACATGGACTTCTGTAAGAAGCTGGACATTACTTGAAGTGCCAGGTAGCTTCAAATGAGTGTATGGCTTGTCTCAGGTTATTGTTGGAGCTGTTAGCAAACTTAACCGCCAACTGGTGAGGTGAATGTATTTCTTCTTTGTTTGCATGAATTTCAAAAATCCTACAATATAAAAATGTTAGAAGTAAAAGTGAAGGTAAGAGTCGAAGAGATGAGTAAGTTGAAGGTAAGAGTGGGTGCTGAATTTAAGACATAAAGGGCTTATTTGGTACGAAATTGTAGACAGGTCTCGACAATATAATAAAGAAGATTTTAGCTTCTTTTTTCCTTTTATTGTCTAGTGTTGTTCAATCTACCTTACCAAATATGTCTAAAATATATGAGCTTCCTACCTCTTCAATGGAAGGTGGGAAGAGTTGAACCACAGTGCATAGTGACTTTACAGGCTCCAGCCTTGAGACGTCACTGCAGCAAAAGAACACTTTGTTACACCCCTTAAACCTCTCTAATATCCACTTAATATATCTCAGGGTATCGGTAGATATCTTGTCTGCCTCGTATAGAATGATTGCTGCATAGAATACGTGGACAAAATAATTTGCCAATTTCTCAACATTTTTTCAAGTAAAAATAGTTTTTCTTGAAGAAAGTTTCACATGTATTACCGTTGTAGTCCCTGTGATTTCTCTGCAAATTTTTGTTGGATAACTTCGTACTTCTTTCTTTAATAAGTTCAACAAGAATGTGCTTCTCGTATCATTTTAGTTCAGAGAAATTGACTTCAATATGTTGTTGTGACACCATTAAATTTACCAGGACACTGCCCACTCATTCTCCCTGTGATGAATACACCCATCAACATTTATCGAATTCATATGTGTGTTGAGAAATTGGATAGTCTTTCTAAGCAATTAGGATGTTGCCCTGCTTCTATCTTATTTTAAATTTAGGCAGGTCTATTTTTGACAGTGAGATATACGTGTAATGTGGTAGAGTTCATGAGCAGCAAGCGCATTTTGGGGGTATACAAGCTCTGGTAGAAACTTGTGAGAGTTTCAAGCAGATGAATCTTTAATAGTATGGACTCTGTATTTTGCTTCAAAAGCTCATGAAGTTCTATGCATCTCAAGCACGCAAAATCGAAATTGTTAACCAGTAAAATACTACTTCTCCTGTCGACTCATAACTGGGGTGAAGGACTAAGGTATTGACATTTTTATTATATTGTGAATTTATATTCTCCAAGCAATTCAAACTCTGGATGTGTCACTATGCCAGCCTTTCCATTTTATTACCATGTTCTTCTTTTCATAGTTGCTGGTCTAAAGAAGAAAGATTCACAATGAAAAGCTCTTATATTTTTGCATGCCATTTATATATTGATTTGGAGAAGAGAATATAATGTAGTTTCTATCCATGAACTTAATTATGAAAATATAGACATGGAGTTTACCTTCAAATAAAATCCCCTGCACTCTTCCCTTGCCTGTTGATAATAAATAAAACTATATCAATCTCTAAAATTCATGGAAAATGTTGCTTGGACATCAATCCAGGATATTCAAAAGAATTTTACTGAGTTTTATAGCACCTGGAGACACTTTGGATTACAAAGTCCATTCCTGTATGATAAGATTATGTAATATACAATATCAATGTATAAAATTTATAAAAGTGGGAAGGACTTCTACCTTTGACACACAATAATGCCCATATCGATATTTCACCAGTTGTTATTCAAGCCAAATACATATTTGGTTGTAATATAATTTTATGACTTCGTCTATATGTTTTCTATGTTAAGGAAGAAGAACTTGATTTTAGCTACCTAATTTTGAGTTATATAACATAATTAATTGAGAAAATTGACCTTGTGTTGATGGTTTTTCTATGCAATTGTGTGGGTGAATGGTAAAGTGAGTATTTGGCATTGGCTAAATTTTTATGGTTGGTGGTATATAGCATGACGATAAATAGAAATTATAATTGTTTAGGAAGAGTGAGAGGGAAAAAAAGTGATATAAGCTGAATAACAAGACTTGTATTTTACTTGTTTAGCTCGTTTTACTTATCAATACAACTACTAAGGCTAGTTGCTTATAAGCATACAACCAACTGAACCTGTAGCTATTACTCAAACTCCATAGCCACTTCTTTATTTAGAACTTGTGGTTGATAATTATCTTTATGCTAGAAATTTTCAACTCTTTCTATCAATCCTAAATTTGATTCTATTAGATGCATATTAATTCATTTATTAGAATTCACCTGTACGTTGTTGGCTCCAAAGGCTTCTCTAAGCAAAGCCCAAATCATAGTTTTCTTTCCCACTCCTGGCAGGCCTTAAAAAATGAAGTGACCGCATTCTTCTGCTTTAACCTGTCGTAGTGCAAAAATATCACTATGGGAATTCTTTTTGTTGCAGTGAAAACGGTCAATAATATAAGCAAGGTGAGAAATATACTTACCACATCTTGTAGCCAAAGTGCTGTTCTTCGATTGCATAGAAAATCTTCCAAATATTTGTCTACCCATGCATATTTTCTATCATTTTTCATTCTCTTCGTTTCCTCATTTTTTAGGATGACCACTTCAATTTCTGAAGTTTGAGCTGTTGCAATAGGTGGTGTTTGTGCAAGTGGTGGTGGAGATGGTGGCAAAAGCGAGTCTTCTATATTTTGTGATGATATTTGTCTAAGGCATCTGCAGTTGCTAAAGTTTGAGCTGCTTCCATAGTTAGTGTTTGTGCAGGTGGTGGTAGTTGTGGTGGAGATGGTGGCAAAAGCAGGTCTTGTGTAGTTTGTGATGATATTTGTGGTTGTGAAGTTGTCGAGGGAATGTTGGGTGGTATTTCTCGTTCTCTCTCACTCAAAGGCTTCTTATTTTATAAACCAGTAGCAACTTCTTTCATGTTGCCAGTGAAATTGACTTTTTCCCGCTCTGATTCTGAATCATTTGTTTTTGCTTTTTTTTTTTTTTTTTTTTTTTTTTTTATTTTTTTTTTTTTTACCCCGTTTGGGGTTTTTTTTTTTTTTTTTTTTTTTTTTTTTTTTTTTTTTTTTTTTTTTTTTTTATCTAATCTTTATTATTATCACACCGGTAGTGGTTGCTTTCGAGGATGATGAATTGGAAGTCACAGCACGATTGTGTCCGGAGCTCTTACTCTGGGAAAAACTGGACGAAAAGGTTTTTTCATGGTTTTTCGCAATTAAGCAAGAAGTACTCCATTTTTGCACCTTGATGATAAGTGCATTTTATGCACTTATTCGGACTATATAATTAGGTTTTTATGTCGTCAAATTATCAATTTTTACCTAATTTGTGTTAATTTTCTTTTGTTTTTAGTTATGGACCCATTTTGAAGCAATTGGAAAAGAAAATAATCAATTGGCTATTACATTGAGTTTGTGGACAAAATCTCGCGGAATAAAAGATGGAGGATCAAAATTGAGGAGAAAATGAAGAGAAGGACCAACTTGCATTACACGAAAGAAATACACAAAACTTATTGGACTTGGGCTTCTAATTTGTATACAGAATAAGGGCTTTTTTTGCTTAGGTATATGTATACTTGCAGTCGAGAAAAGCCGAGGGGGGTAGACAAAAATTCATAAACACATAGACAGAAAACGACGAGGAAGAGGCAGCCGTGGGAGGAAATTAGAATCCCTTTTGGGATTATTCAAGTCGGCGGCAAATTGAGAGGAAGCCGGGGCTGAGTTGAATATATTAAATACAAAAGAAAACGGTAGAACCACCTACCTAAATGATTTCCCTGTTCCTAAAAATACTGATTCCTTGAACCGAAATTGATTTTCCTTAAGCACATCTTTTGAGCACAATACATCCCAAATTCACAAGCCATTTTTTATTTTTCCTTTCTCTAATGCAGTTAATGTTGACCGAGTTGAAAAGTACCATGCTTCTAGTGACCTTCTGTTCATATATTGTAGGCATAAATATGTCACTCATTAGCTCATGAAATGGCAATATTTGGCACCAAAATCTAGATCAAAGCAATAATTGGTAGGTTCAGATATTTATATGGTTAGAGTACTTGGTATTTTGATGTTTAAATATTGTACATATTCTGATATTCAGATGGATGGATTTGAATGAATGAAAGATTGATCTGAAAGCCACTTGAGAAGCCTGCAATGTTTCTGGACTTTAGTCAGAAGTGTTTTAAAATTTTGTCCTACCTTTCAGAATGGAGACTTTGAATGTAAGTACTTTGCACCCCTCGAATTAAGTTCGTACTTTTGGAGAATTTGTCAAAAACTCAAGCATTCTTCATGTCCTTGTGTCTTTTATGTACTGAAAATATTATCCAAATCTTCACTTGGGGTAATTAATTTCTGACCTTTATGCATGTAAAGTGATAAAGCATACAAATAAAATTCGTTTCTAGTCATGTTATCGATATCATGAATTCTCATCTTACCTTCAATCCTCATAAATTGTTCCACATTCTTTCAAGAATCAGTTTGTCATTGACTAAGTTCCACTTGCTGATCCTATGCACATGCAGAGGCCACGAGCTTCTCAGCTTCATGATTTCTCTGGTCAAAAGAAAAAATGGTTACTTATCATGCTATGTTTTTTGATGTATTAATAATCAAATCTCTTGGAATATGAAATAAATTATTTCATTGCTGGAATTCATACATTGTATTCATCACACAAATTGCCAAGTAGCTGCTGCAAGTATTCATTAGGATTCTTCTTCAGTTCTTCAATAAGGGTCTGCACAAGAGAGACCTAGTTAATAGAAATTTGAGTACTTAGGTAAGACAAAATACTAAGATGCTCTAACTTTGAATATGAACTCAGGAGTTATATCATGCGCTATTAGATTTTGTAGTTCTCCTTGGATATTATACAGCCTATGGAAGTAAATGATTCTCGCTGTTAGATCTGTACGGGGTGTAGACAGTTTGAATCAGTAGTTGATTGGAGCATGTTTTGGCTTTTAAGTAAAATTTTGTTACAAAACATGTTTCGATAGCTAACTTGTTGTCTTATAATAAAGAAATGACAACAAGGTAGGAGTTAGTGAGTTACTTACGAAATAGGTAACTTGATTTAAAATTGGAATTATTTATTTTAAAAGTTATTTAGTTGTATGTAAACATTTTAAGCTTAGTCAAACATGCACATATGAAGAAAAATAATGAGGAGACAATGATATTTTCCACGTCTGATAATTAAAAAGCTTTAGAATTGACACATACTGCCTTGGGGTTTGTTCTTGTATTATCTTTCTAGCGAGATTTGCAATTTTCTCTTCCCACCCAGTCTTGATAGCTTGATCTTCAGTCAAGGATGAACTGAAAACACATCATCGCTTAAATAAGGTTAGATGAAAAAATTAAACATGAAAAATAGAACATGGACTTCTGTAAGAAGCTGGACATTACTTGAAGTGCCAGGTAGCTTCAAATGAGTGTATGGCTTGTCTCAGGTTATTGTTGGAGCTGTTAGCAAACTTAACCGCCAACTGGTGAGGTGAATGTATTTCTTCTTTGTTTGCATGAATTTCAAAAATCCTACAATATAAAAATGTTAGAAGTAAAAGTGAAGGTAAGAGTCGAAGAGATGAGTAAGTTGAAGGTAAGAGTGGGTGCTGAATTTAAGACATAAAGGGCTTATTTGGTACGAAATTGTAGACAGGTCTCGACAATATAATAAAGAAGATTTTAGCTTCTTTTTTCCTTTTATTGTCTAGTGTTGTTCAATCTACCTTACCAAATATGTCTAAAATATATGAGCTTCCTACCTCTTCAATGGAAGGTGGGAAGAGTTGAACCACAGTGCATAGTGACTTTACAGGCTCCAGCCTTGAGACGTCACTGCAGCAAAAGAACACTTTGTTACACCCCTTAAACCTCTCTAATATCCACTTAATATATCTCAGGGTATCGGTAGATATCTTGTCTGCCTCGTATAGAATGATTGCTGCATAGAATACGTGGACAAAATAATTTGCCAATTTCTCAACATTTTTTCAAGTAAAAATAGTTTTTCTTGAAGAAAGTTTCACATGTATTACCGTTGTAGTCCCTGTGATTTCTCTGCAAATTTTTGTTGGATAACTTCGTACTTCTTTCTTTAATAAGTTCAACAAGAATGTGCTTCTCGTATCATTTTAGTTCAGAGAAATTGACTTCAATATGTTGTTGTGACACCATTAAATTTACCAGGACACTGCCCACTCATTCTCCCTGTGATGAATACACCCATCAACATTTATCGAATTCATATGTGTGTTGAGAAATTGGATAGTCTTTCTAAGCAATTAGGATGTTGCCCTGCTTCTATCTTATTTTAAATTTAGGCAGGTCTATTTTTGACAGTGAGATATACGTGTAATGTGGTAGAGTTCATGAGCAGCAAGCGCATTTTGGGGGTATACAAGCTCTGGTAGAAACTTGTGAGAGTTTCAAGCAGATGAATCTTTAATAGTATGGACTCTGTATTTTGCTTCAAAAGCTCATGAAGTTCTATGCATCTCAAGCACGCAAAATCGAAATTGTTAACCAGTAAAATACTACTTCTCCTGTCGACTCATAACTGGGGTGAAGGACTAAGGTATTGACATTTTTATTATATTGTGAATTTATATTCTCCAAGCAATTCAAACTCTGGATGTGTCACTATGCCAGCCTTTCCATTTTATTACCATGTTCTTCTTTTCATAGTTGCTGGTCTAAAGAAGAAAGATTCACAATGAAAAGCTCTTATATTTTTGCATGCCATTTATATATTGATTTGGAGAAGAGAATATAATGTAGTTTCTATCCATGAACTTAATTATGAAAATATAGACATGGAGTTTACCTTCAAATAAAATCCCCTGCACTCTTCCCTTGCCTGTTGATAATAAATAAAACTATATCAATCTCTAAAATTCATGGAAAATGTTGCTTGGACATCAATCCAGGATATTCAAAAGAATTTTACTGAGTTTTATAGCACCTGGAGACACTTTGGATTACAAAGTCCATTCCTGTATGATAAGATTATGTAATATACAATATCAATGTATAAAAATTATAAAAGTGGGAAGGACTTCTACCTTTGACACACAATAATGCCCATATCGATATTTCACCAGTTGTTATTCAAGCCAAATACATATTTGGTTGTAATATAATTTTATGACTTCGTCTATATGTTTTCTATGTTAAGGAAGAAGAACTTGATTTTAGCTACCTAATTTTGAGTTATATAACATAATTAATTGAGAAAATTGACCTTGTGTTGATGGTTTTTCTATGCAATTGTGTGGGTGAATGGTAAAGTGAGTATTTGGCATTGGCTAAATTTTTATGGTTGGTGGTATATAGCATGACGATAAATAGAAATTATAATTGTTTAGGAAGAGTGAGAGGGAAAAAAAGTGATATAAGCTGAATAACAAGACTTGTATTTTACTTGTTTAGCTCGTTTTACTTATCAATACAACTACTAAGGCTAGTTGCTTATAAGCATACAACCAACTGAACCTGTAGCTATTACTCAAACTCCATAGCCACTTCTTTATTTAGAACTTGTGGTTGATAATTATCTTTATGCTAGAAATTTTCAACTCTTTCTATCAATCCTAAATTTGATTCTATTAGATGCATATTAATTCATTTATTAGAATTCACCTGTACGTTGTTGGCTCCAAAGGCTTCTCTAAGCAAAGCCCAAATCATAGTTTTCTTTCCCACTCCTGGCAGGCCTTAAAAAATGAAGTGACCGCATTCTTCTGCTTTAACCTGTCGTAGTGCAAAAATATCACTATGGGAATTCTTTTTGTTGCAGTGAAAACGGTCAATAATATAAGCAAGGTGAGAAATATACTTACCACATCTTGTAGCCAAAGTGCTGTTCTTCGATTGCATAGAAAATCTTCCAAATATTTGTCTACCCATGCATATTTTCTATCATTTTTCATTCTCTTCGTTTCCTCATTTTTTAGGATGACCACTTCAATTTCTGAAGTTTGAGCTGTTGCAATAGGTGGTGTTTGTGCAAGTGGTGGTGGAGATGGTGGCAAAAGCGAGTCTTCTATATTTTGTGATGATATTTGTCTAAGGCATCTGCAGTTGCTAAAGTTTGAGCTGCTTCCATAGTTAGTGTTTGTGCAGGTGGTGGTAGTTGTGGTGGAGATGGTGGCAAAAGCAGGTCTTGTGTAGTTTGTGATGATATTTGTGGTTGTGAAGTTGTCGAGGGAATGTTGGGTGGTATTTCTCGTTCTCTCTCACTCAAAGGCTTCTTATTTTATAAACCAGTAGCAACTTCTTTCATGTTGCCAGTGAAATTGACTTTTTCCCGCTCTGATTCTGAATCATTTGTTTTTGCTTTTTTTTTTCCCCTTTGTTTTTTATTTTTTTTTTTTTTTTTTTTTTTTTTTTTTTTTTTTTTTATCTAATCTTTATTATTATCACACCGGTAGTGGTTGCTTTCGAGGATGATGAATTGGAAGTCACAGCACGATTGTGTCCGGAGCTCTTACTCTGGGAAAAACTGGACGAAAAGGTTTTTTCATGGTTTTTCGCAATTAAGCAAGAAGTACTCCATTTTTGCACCTTGATGATAAGTGCATTTTATGCACTTATTCGGACTATATAATTAGGTTTTTATGTCGTCAAATTATCAATTTTTACCTAATTTGTGTTAATTTTCTTTTGTTTTTAGTTATGGACCCATTTTGAAGCAATTGGAAAAGAAAATAATCAATTGGCTATTACATTGAGTTTGTGGACAAAATCTCGCGGAATAAAAGATGGAGGATCAAAATTGAGGAGAAAATGAAGAGAAGGACCAACTTGCATTACACGAAAGAAATACACAAAACTTATTGGACTTGGGCTTCTAATTTGTATACAGAATAAGGGCTTTTTTTGCTTAGGTATATGTATACTTGCAGTCGAGAAAAGCCGAGGGGGGTAGACAAAAATTCATAAACACATAGACAGAAAACGACGAGGAAGAGGCAGCCGTGGGAGGAAATTAGAATCCCTTTTGGGATTATTCAAGTCGGCGGCAAATTGAGAGGAAGCCGGGGCTGAGTTGAATATATTAAATACAAAAGAAAACGGTAGGTTGAAGGGAGTGCCGGGGGCTGAATTTATATTATTGGATGCACAGAAAACGACAGATTGAAATTGCTGAATTGATATAGACGGCCAGCAGCTGACGGTGAATTGGTGGGCTGCAAAGTTTGAATTAAATACACATACACACCCACCAGAAGCCAATATTTGGAAGAGATTAGAGACGCAGAAAACGACGGCTGGAATTAATAAATTTGGAAGCTGAATTGATTATATTATATACAAAACAATTGAAGTGGGCGGCAGCTTTGGACTCTAGTATTGTATTACAAAAGTGAGGGGCCTAATTGGAATAATATATATACTAGATAGAGGACAGCAAACACGAGACGGAGACGGACGGAAGGCAGCGGCTTAAAGGAAAAAATTTCAGATTACTCTTGGAAGGAACTTTGATGTCAATCACGTTCCGTCAATTATTGGTGATGTCGTTCCACTTTTATTTATTTAATTTTGCCGTTATGTTAGGCTAGATCTTTTATGCTAGGATTTGCGATAAATCTTATATTATGAACCCTTAATCTTGAATTTTATTTATTCGACGTTAAAACATGTTTTTAATTATTGAATGATTGACATGGATTTTATTCTCTACAATTATAGGCGCAATATTTGTATGAGATTTGTGGCTTGTGTTACTCTCGAGAGATAGAAAATAAGTTAGACATTATGTTAATTGTCGTAAAGTCCGATAGGGGATAGATATATATCGCTATGGTTTACGTGATCTTTAAGTATTCATAAATCTTTAATGCATTTTTACATATTCGCATCCGTCATAGAAATATAGTCGGATCGCATGTGAAAATAGGTTTAATTCTACTCGAGAGAGATTGTTAAACAAATTAGGAATATTGGTCTTCATAATTGAATCGTGTTGTCAATTTTATAAAAGTCGGATTAAAGGGGATTGATATAAGGGGATTCAGAATCCTAGTACGCATTTCGTTATCATATTTTTATAAAACTTGCATTTAGTTATAATCATGCATTTAATTTAGTTAATTTAGGCTTTATATTTATAAGTAGGTTATTAAATTATAATTTAGTTAGCGAAAATATCAAGAATTTCTATTGTTTCGGTTAAGGCGTAGATAATTTAAATTTAAACTAATACAATCTCTGTGGGATGATACTTGGACTCAAAAGGTCCACTTTATTACTTGAACGCAATCCGTGCAGGATTTCAGCGAACACTTGACTATGAAACTCGATTTGGATGCAGAACTCACAAAAGTTGCTGCATTGCTTTCTCTTCCAGGACTGGACCCTGATAGCTTTTCTCTATTGATAACAAGTGAAAAATCCGTTTGGCTTTTGTAATAAGGGCTGCTTGTAAAGTACCTTGTCTCAAGAATTGTGTTTCTTCGATTGATCTCTTGTAGATTCTCTTCAGTCAGCCCGACACCCTTGGAAGATAAATTGCCTTTTATTTTGATAAAGTTAGGCCAGGCCATAGCTAGGGAGCTAGCCGAGCGCACGGACTTGTTCACATCAGAGGGGGATAGTGAGCGTCAACTGTTAGAGATACCAAGAGTGGAATTGGAAAGTGGGATCGAAGGGCTCGGCATTGAAGAACCAAATATCATCGGTTTGGTCTTGATCTTCCTATAACAGGAGAAGAAAAGTTCAGATATATGTGTAACGTCATGTCAAGAGATTGTTCTTGCGGACGATTACTAAGATGGGAATATGAAAACATTTGACGTTGTGTACAATGATTTTGCAATTTCTTGAGGACCAATTAGTTTCTCATTATAGATACAATGTTAATATTGCAGGCTATCACAACTTGATTAAACTACTAGAAGATTTATCAAGAATAGTCTTATTAGGCTAGCCTTTTCCCTCTGCCAATTCCTTCACTAAAATATGTTGATATCATTCTATAAATTACGTGATGATCATGATTTTTTTATTCGACCCCGCCAACCATGTGCAAATCGGTTATTTGTAAACTCATCCCAAGATACAACAGGGCACAGTTGAACTATCAATTATCCGCAAAAACAGACAGATAATTGTGTGTTCTTCTATATCATTATCGAGGGAACCATTTGTCAGTTTTACCTTACGGTCATTCTTTTCCTCACCTGAAATGCATCCCTCCATTTTCTTTTTAGATGCATAAATGTTTGACAAAAGTACTTATGCACAGTCTTCTTCTGGATCTACCTTTACAAGCTTCTTCATTACCCTTCCTGCAAGATCAAGTTTCCCATGGATCTTGGCAAGCTCCAAGTAATGATCTCCAAATCAACACATCAGGCTTGATAGACATGTTTTCGACAAACTCAGCAGCCTCTCTTATCAACCCTACTCGATACAAAATTTTGACTTTGTGTAATAACTGGTGGAATTATTCTTGTTGGCTATGTTTTCTTACCAAACATTTCCAAGACTTGGTTCCCATTGTGGCTTTGATTTCAATATCTTGGTTCCTAGCCTACCTCTTACATTAAGTTATAAAAATCTCATATCGGTTAAATACCGAAATATTGACCAACTTAAAAATTTTTTGGGCTACTTCTCTTAATAAGGTTGACCTTTAGGATGGAACCCCAAGTCTTAACATGGTATCAGAGCCCATTAAATTCCAACGAGCAATTCGATCCGATTAAAACTCTAAAAATGAGCACATGAATTTTAATATTGGTCTGCTTAAATGAGCCACCATCTTGTAGGGGCATGTTAAGGGATAAAAATCTCACATAGGTTAAATACTGAAATATTGACCAACTTATAAAGATTTTAGGCTACTCCTCGTAATAAGGTTGACATTTTATGATGGAACTTCAAGTCTTAATATTACACATACATGAAGAGTTGTTGCCACGGTCATGATCGTCTAGTTTCAAGGCGGTACAGTGGGTCGACGATAATAGCCACGATGGCGAGGAGTGCATCCATTATTGCCTGTACGACTTCTGCTCGAGGTGATGGAAAATATGATTACCTTGGTGTTGGAAAAATTGTTTCCACTCAAGGGGTTTGAGAAGAAACAAATGACAAAATTGAGAATACATGAATAAAAAATAAAGGCTTAAACACAAAATTCATCGTTTTCAAACAATATTTGCCCATCTCAGATTGAATTTGATACTTAAAGAGATATTGACAAATGATTTGAAAGATTAATCAAGCCTTTCAATAGAAAAACACTTAATCATTTAGTGTTTTCTATCAAAATTTCAATAACACTTTTGAAATAAATTTGAATATGAATGAAAGAATATAAATTCTATCTTTCGAAATGAAGATTTGATCTCAAGTTGTTGAATTGTGTTTTTTGATGTGATAGTCTATATGTATTTATAGATTTTAATCAACACCCACAAAATGATGCTAAAAGAACCACGAAAAGTTGCAAACTTTTAACCAAATGCATCCAAGAATTCAAACAAAAAACTAGACTTAATGGCTAATTTTTAGTCCTATGCGACCAACTATAACAATTCTATACGGTTGTATAGGTCAATCTCTTGCAAAGCATATAAACCCTGCACGTCATTATGCTACTGCAGGCCACACAGGCCTATGCGACTGCATAGGCTAAAGTTTTGTCCTTCAAATCCTTTCTCACTTCAAAACCTATTTTATTGATTTTGAACAATAATTCAACAATCCCCCAATTTTTCATATTCAAAATATACAATATTTATGCATAAGAATTGCTCAAACCTCACTCAAGTAACAACCAACATTATATTATTATGATAGGGTTGCCATCATTAGTGAATCTTTTATTCTAAGAGTTTAAACCACATCCTGTTCGAAGTAGATATTACTAAATCTCTATTTTGAGGTTTAGTTAAGGGATCCATTGATTCTCAATTACTTCACATAATTTAGGAAAATTATTCCACTCTTGATTAAGGTTCTAATGTAGTTGTGCTTCAAACTCATATGTCTAGACTTCTCATTATATACCTCATTGTATGCCTTTGCTAAGGTGGCTCAACTGTCACACATGATGAATAATGAAGATGTATTCTTCAATCCCAAAGGTATCTTATAAAAAAGATCTTTAAGTCACTCAGCTTCTTTCCTAATAACTGATAATGTTACAAATTCATATTCCATAGTTGAGTGTGTAATATATGTTTGTTTATTTGATTTTCAAGAAACAGCACGTCCTCCAAGAGTAAATACCCAACTCGAAGTAGATTTACTTTCACTCGTTCTAGCTGTCCAACTTCCATCGGTAAATCCTTTTAATATGGTTGAAAATTTAAATAGTTGAGAACTCATCCAATGACCTTCCAATGTTCCTTACTCAGATTACTTGTAAACTAAGTTTAATAGTTGTAAATGCTATCTCCGATCTTGTGTATTGAACTACATAGTTTGGACTTCTAATAACACTTGCACACTACAATTGAGTAATTTCTCTTCCATCATTCTTTATAAATTTTAAATTTGGATCAAGAGGGGTATTGAATTCTTTTACGTTCAAATGTTTGAACTTATTAATCACATTCTTAATATGATGTGATTGACTCAAGAAAAACCCCACCAATTTTTGTAACTTTGAAACCCAATATGATATTCACGTGTCCAAGATCTTTCATCTTAAACGTGGAACATAGAAAATTTTTTGTTGCTTTGATTCCATCCATGTGATTACTAATAGTCATATGTCATCAACATATAAGCAAATAAAGACTATATATTCATCACACACTTTAGAATATAAACATTTATGTACACTATTATTTATGAAACCAAATGAATTAATAGCTAAGTCAAAATTTTCATGTCATTTCGTAGGTACTTGCTTTAAACCGTATAATGGTTTCACCAATTTACACGCCTTATGTTCATTTTCAGTAGAGCAAACCCCTTGAGTTGTTCCATGTAACCTTATCATCAAGATCCCATAATTAAAAATGCCATCTTGACTTACATTTGATGTTCATGCAAGTCATGTATCGAAGCTAAGCGAATAAGATCCTAATTAAAGTTATTATTGCTACCAGTGCATAGATATCATAATCTATACATTCTTTTTATCGATACCTTTTAGCTATGAATCTAGCTTTAAAGGTGTTAAGATAATCATCAACATTGTATTTTCTCCTAAACACGCATTTACATCCAATAAGTTTGGATTTGGGTGGTAAATCGACATGTTCTTATGTATTATTTTAATAATTAAATTCATTTCATTTTTAATTGCTTCTTTTCAAAAAATACTATCACGAGAAATCATAGCATCTCTATAAGTTTTAGGATCAGTCTCCACTTGTAGAACGAAAAGAATTGTTCTTACAACATTCTTCTTATTTCCTTCTACTAAGTAAAACAAAATAAATTGAGAGTCAATTTTATCGGATCCTAAAGACTTCTTAATTTAAGTTCTTTTGCTTCTCCGTAGTTCACTAGATTTATGAACACATTTAGAAGATGTTTTATGCTTTGTTCCACTCGAGTTAGAGATCTCGTTGTAAGTTTTCCTTATTTCATCATCCGACGATAGTGCATTCTTGAAGAACTCCACATCACTTGATTCAATTATTACATTGGTATCCAATTTAACAATCTATATGATTGATATTACTAGTATAACCAACAAAAACACATTTAATGCCTCTTGGACCCACTTGGTCTTAGTAGGGTTTATGTTCTTACAATATGCAAGACACCCCACACTTTGAAGTTTGAAGCATCCAATGTTAGGTTTTCTTCATTGTCACAATTCAT